GAAATGTTGCAACGAACGCGCGAACTTTGACAAATCCTAAAAACCGACGTTGCGCAACCGCGATAATCTACAATCGATCGAAAGGATATTTATTGGAAATTGCTCGTTTCGATTTCGAAATTCCCAATTACCAGAAGCAACGAATCGACGTGTCCAAATGACGAGCACAAATGCAATCGATTCAGCAGCAACGTACGATAAATAAACCGAGAATAAATCCGGCCGTATTCTCCAGTCGTTAGTCGCTGATTAGAATTCCCGCGGCGAGGCACAGGATATACTCGTAAATGGGAATTAAAGTGAAACGAAAAAGAATTACGTCCAGCCCGAATATTTCGAAATCGTCTATTTGACGTAAACATAAATTAATTTCATACAGAAGGCTCGATTGCAGTGCCCGATCGAAGATAAATTTTTGTTTCCTGCGCGGCTTGCACGGTCGTCTCTGTCGCTAAATTACACATTACCGCGGCACGTGTAAACAACTGGCGTCCAACGAAGTTGTTTCGTGCAATTAACGACCGGTATTGTATAACGTTAATTGTACACCTTCGTACGGCAATGGTACGAGAGCCCGTTCGCGTGTTAAATTATACCATTTCGACGCGAGTGACATCGTTCAGATTCAATAATCTTTCCCGCATTTAGTTAAGGTTCGAGTGACAGTATATTTAGACACGACGGTGTGCGAATAGACTCCGGCTAGGTGCAGTTTGAGTTAAATAAAGATGCGCCCAGCTATCGTACTAACACCGCGAACGCCTAATTTCCCGACAATCACGCGATACTTATTTATTTACACGGTGATCGACCAGAACTGGGACTCTTGGAACGAGAATCCTCGACTTGCTGTTTTCCAAACGACCCTGTTCTTCTCGGTGTCGCTTGAAAAATATCAGTTTAATTGCTTTTAAAATAATTTTTCACGCGAGCAAAGTCGCCGAGTCGAGCGTGAACTTTCACGAGCCAGCCAGATATTTGAGAAGAGACACGATTTTTCACTGTCTCCGTTACGAAAGCGTGGATCTACGCGATCTACGCGCATCACGCGAATGCACCGTTCGTCAGGAATCGGTTGGAAATGATCGATCACGGCGGGTTTCGTCATTTTACCGCTCGCCAGTAATCCCCGTTCCTGAGACGATTATGCACCGACTGTATTGTGAATAACTTGCCAGTATAAATACCGATTGTGTCACCGGGAGGTATGAGCAGTGATCTCAGCGGTCTCGAAAGCTTCCGAGAAACACGAATTCGCGAGTTTTTTTTCAAAGTCACCTTTTTGTGTAAACTTCCCCCCCGGCGGATACGGACGCGTAAGCGGATAATCAAATAGAACGCTTAATTGACGTTTAATATCGTTGGTAAACGGCGACGTCACGGACTCGAAATAAGGAAAAAAAAAAGAATACAGTTTGCAACGTTCGTCGAAAAGGCGTTATATAATCGACGCTGTGGGAGTTCAATGTCCTCCTGAGCTTTATTCTGATTATTGTTAATTTAGTTTTCAAACGGAGTTTACGCTTTTTATGTTCACTTTGGCACCCCGAGACAGCGAAGAATCGACGTTTATCTTATTTTCGATGATAAATCATCTTCTCCTGATTCTTTCAATAGAGGAGTGGGCACGTTTGTAATTATTGCACGCGATATCGGTATCCGCTAACGAGTAGAATTGTTTACGAGCACGTCGGGGGGGAAAGATGGCATGGGAATCGCGTTGTTCGTGACCGAAAATAATCCGCTTGAATTATTAGGAGTCTTCTTGTTACCGCAGAAAGCAAATTCCTGTATCGATTCCGCGCGGCGAACCGCAGCATTCCATCGCCCGCGCTTCTACGAGCTTTCATAACGCCAACGGATATCTCTCGCAACGATAACCGAACCAAGGAGCACGATTCGTAGCCAAGGTGTGCCACAAAGTATAGCAACTGCCGCGTGACGGGTAGGAAAATGCGTGAAAATAAGAGCAGCCGGAAGCTGAAGCTGAACCTCAAATTTTTATTCGAATCTTCGCGCCACGAAACTGTGCTTCTCGATCGTCGTCGATCCTTGCTCCAGAATATTACATTGTTCTTTCCTAGGTATTTGCTGGACATTTCGATTCAAACCGCTTGCAACTTTTACTTATCTACAGTTCTTAACCTTGACGAGGCCCAACACCTTCTAACAATTAACAGTCCGCCACGATGGGTCACGAGCTGTTGCGCAATTATTTTGCAACGCTGACACAACGGTCGATGTAGAGCGCGTTTACGATCTTCGAAAATGTCGATCAACGCTATTTCCTCGCAACGTAAACGATCTCTCGAACATCGAAGCTCCTTCGAACGATTCCCAGTATCCATATCGATGGAACACTATCCTCTCGATTACTTTTTAACTTGTACGTTCGGTTATGCAACTCAAGGTTGGGTTAATAATGACATATAACTGTACCTCGTCTTTGTACCAAACGTATACTTATTTCTAATTCCAAGTTTCTATCTTCCTTTTCACTCGATTACTGAACTTATCGGTGTGCACAGTCTTGGCACAATAAAAGTTAGCGTTATTGGAAGGTGGAAACGGGTTGCTTCGACCCACTTTTCCATTCTTAATATGCGATCCTAGGACCCACGAAAAGGCGGGTGGGAATTAATTTGCGGGGTTAATTCCAACGTATGGAAGCGACGTTTCTGCGTGGAGGTTACCGGTGCTATCGCGATGGCGGACCACACAGATCGGTCGAGTATCATCGAGCCTGCATGGAAATCGTGATCCACCGCGGTGCATTAATTCGCGACAGTGTGCGTCTGTTGTGTCGCGGTTGTTGCCAGTGAATCGAAACGTTTAGCCCGCGCGTATTGAGGTCAGTGGTTTGTTCATCCTATCGTTAATGACGATTCCAGTGTCGGGACACACAGCTTCGACGCGGACACGAGCGAGCGGTCGATTCTTCCTTGCGTAACTTGCACGAAGAGGCACACCATCGCTGGCCCGTTTTCTGCGCCCGGCCCATTATAATGTATACAGTTTTCGCAACATTATTCCTCAGGTATTTCGCTTGCTCGGCGCGTTTTTGACTTTTCGTTTTGCAACGCGAACGAAGACGCGATCGAACGAAAAAGAATCGCCTTTCCAGTCTGAAAACGCGTCCCCTTGTCCATTAAACTAGACATTTTTTTTTTTAAACACCCGTGTTGTACCGGGAAGGGTTGAACTGTGCGTGACAGTATATTGTGTCGCTCGTTTCACCACAATGGTCAATTATCTCGTAATCGTGCGAAACCTGATCGTCGCCGCGGCTAAGAAAAATCTGTCACGAGGCCGATACCGTCTACGCTTACAATGTTGTTGGTATTCCACGTTTATTGGCAATAATTTTATACTCGTACGGTTTATTATGGTATAGCAACGCGTGTTACATCAACGTTACGGTACAATTCCCTTCCCTGTGAGATTCGTAACCAGCGAACGCTTCCGGCGCTGGCAGATCCTTATCCCTCGGCCATCTTTTCTCTCATTAATAATTACGTATTTAAAGCTCGTTTATTCTTTCGCCGTTCCATTTTTCCGTGTTATCCAACATTCGTTACACCTGGACTTTCACGCAATTGTATTTAAATATCATTGGATGATTTTATAAGTAAAAATACCAAGATGGCGGATCCAAACTCCTTAATAGTACGGATGACGAAGTTACTACCGCGTTTCTGGCCGCTGGTATTTATCGTTCCGGGGTTGTCACGATCCAGAAACACCGTAGGATCTTGATCCCTGTTTTTCCCCCTTCCGATCGATCGGTGAAAGGACAGGACGAGTGGACGGCAGGCGGCCTTACAGACTCCGATGTCCGTGTACAAATCGGCGACCGGCTGGTCGATGATAAATGACGACACCCATTCAAGTCCGTTGTCGATTGGCCTTGACGAGAATTCTCTTGTCGGCCGAGTTGTATTGAAAGCGAAATTCAACGGGTTACCAAACCGCGTCCGTTGAGCCGACCACCATGCTGGGCGGACGTACGTGCACGGACGCGAGGTTGTGTTCAGGGACGCCATTAATCGCCACCGATAACCGCAACATCGAAATAAACAATTAACCGGTATCGTGACCCTTCCGCGTCCAACAGCAGAAAAATCGTTGGAAACGATATCGCTCGGATCCCGATTTGTCAGTCCAAGAAGAGGCCAGGGGTGGGCAAACTTAATTGAACTAGAAATTTTTAGATTATTTCTGAACAATTTTACATCAGAAGAAGTTTCTAATCTATCCTAGTTCTTCGAACAAATAAATCGAACTGATCACGATCGCGGGTGAAATTCCGACCGATCGACGGTGGAAGTAGGAGCGTTCGGGCACAGTGGTTCAAGGCCGTGGCGATTCATGGTCGTGAATTGCGCGTGTCCGGATCGGTGGCGTGTAATCCATAACAAAAAAAAATTACGCGTTCGGTTTCGTAAGCGATTTGTGGCGGCGCGCGGTGAATTTCGAGCCGGGGTCGATCGCTTCTAATTCAACGTACACGCCGAAAATCGCGACGCAAATCGGCCGACATTTTATGTAACCGGGGAGCTTCACGCGGACGTTAAGTAATACCTCGTTCGTGTAACAAAAGAAGTTCGTTGTCGACCGGAGCTCTCCGTGTGCACCGCCGACTCCGGGGAATAACGTGGCTTCGGGTTTCCGAGAGCCACCGAAGGTTCGCCCAGCCTTCGAACACCTTGTAATTTTGTACGAAAACCGTATCAACGAACGGAGAACGATCCACAATTGTCCAAAAGGAAAGTCGTTGCAGATTTGAGACGCGTAGATTAAAGTTACCGGCGAAACAAAATGGTCGCGAGAACAGGTGGGAATTTGATATCCCCCTCCCGCCAAAGGTGGCTCGAAAGCAACGTATTTCCTGCGCGGCAGGATTTTTTACACGGCAAATGATGCAAAAAAAAAAAATGTTGACCGACCGACCTCGGCCCCCAAGACACGCCTCTTAACCCTTCCGTCGTTCGTTGTTCCAGGAACTCGCGAATTCGATCGTAGAAGTCTACGCCCTTGATTCCGACGTCGCGAGGATCTCGTGAAGGCACCCTCAGAGAGGAGAAAACGAGGAACAATGTCGATTGTAATGCAGTACGTGGACCGGCTCCACGAGATACTTGACAAACATGCAGGTAAGCGTGCAACAAGCAAGCCTTATAAATAAATTAAGCGTACCGGCGATTTCCTGGAGCTTGGACGTTCTTGTGAACGTACCTTAAGCATTGAGAAATATCTCAGGGACGATCACCAGCCACCCGGTGACTAGGCACGAATTTATTAAGGCGAAACAAGAAAGACTCGACCTGGGCCCTGGGCTGCACCGCGTTTCGCTCTTCCTTTTCTGCTTTCGTTCTTTTCCTCGCGGTTTTTGCAGAATTAACGAAACAACACGATGGAATCCTTGAACTTTGCACCGTGGTCGGAACATCGATACTTGGCCGCTCATTTAATATTTTTAGTTCACCGTTCGATCGAAAAACGCGGTATCACTGCTCGAATTAAATATCACATTTTAAAGATGGGTTACCTTCGATTTTCGCCGTAGAATATTCACGAGTTATTTACGCGGAATATCTGGTTTTTGTTTCCTCGAATTATTCATGGATATAAGTCTGTGTCATTGGTGACAAATAAATTAAAAATGAATTTAAAAGTACAATAACAACACCCCCCCACCTCGTGGCTCGTACGTTTCCATGATACAACTTCACTGAAATCCAAGGACTCGATTCCGAGATCTTCTAAACTTCGTAAGGAACTTACCACGCTTACCAAAGCAATAATAAAAGATTAAATATAGTTATTTATTCGTCGAGCACGTCTGCGTTCGAATTTTGCAATTGCGCGTTACGTTTCGTGTCGATGATTTAAACAAAATAATAACACTTTGCTCGTGACCACGCTTGTGATGATTTACGTTTTTAGCAATGGAACCATTCGTTCTCGATCCCGTTGTGGATCTTCGGTGAATCGGGTGCATGTACCCGTAAAAGGGGGGGGGGGAAAGCAATTGCAATAGCACGAGCGCAAGAAATCGTACGCGTTGCGTAAACTACGATCGCGAACGGAATACGAAGAAACGAGAAAATCAGGTGGTCGGACGTAATAATTGCGATTTAATACGCTCGCCAATATTTATTTTCAGCGCAAACAAAAAAAAAGGAAAAAGCGAAATGTAACCGGGATGCAAAGTGCATGCAAATAATGCAGATACGAGCGAAATGACAACAAAGAATTCGGTTGAACTGATGAATAGTAATGTCCGCTTTATTACGTCAACATATGAATGGATGCAAATGATAAACACAAACGACGGGAAAGGTACACGTATTAGCCCGTGGCCATGGTCTTGGACAAGAGGTTCTAATCGTTCTAATCTGCAAAGCAAAATAAGAATTCCAGCGCAAGACTTTTATTTTACAAGAATTTTTATTTAAAATTTTTTAAAATTGAAAAAATCGAAATTCTTTGAGGGACAAAACATTTTCCAAATTTAATGTCCAACAACTTTCGATGGTAATGAATCGACTAGATTAACCCATCGATTTCTTTCGTAATGTCAACTTTCAACGACCACGGTATCTGTGTCTGGATTTCGCTCGAAAGCGTGGATCCCAAATCTTTTTATTCCCTTTTCTCCCGTAAACAATATTTCAGATAAGAGATTACGTAATTTCAACGCAGACTTGGCAGCATCTTTTTATAAACGGAGGAAAGGTTTCGTGAAAGTCACCGGTGGTAAAATGCATATTTATTATTTAGTTTTAGAACATATTTTCTGGCAATTTGCGGTGCCTTTGGTGAGTTTATTGGCGGAAGGCCACCCATTGTCGATCTTTGCGGTCGTCCTCGATGTTGGCGGAGGATGTAAACACTCGTTAGCCTTGTTTTCGCGGACGGACAATACTCCCAAACTATATGGGAAGGATAACGAGTATTCAAGCTCGATTTATTCGCGACTTAACAGTTCGAGGAAATAGTTTCAACGCTACGAAGATTTAAAAAAATCACTGTACGTCTTTTGTGGGGTTAATGGGAATCGCTATGGACGCTCGTGAGCCACGGAGTCGGAGATTTCAACGAATGAACGAGCCACGAAACCGGAGGGGTAGAATTACGAAGAATCTCGCTGCATTTCGGCGAAAATGAATAATTCATTTCACGTGCCCGGGGAAGAACCCGCCGCCATAAACACGACCATATGGAATCGCGTTTCTGGAATGCTCGCTTCCAAATTTAGAATTTTCCCCGAACAAACAAAGAGGCCCCCGGGGATCCTCGTCCCCTCGAAACGTTTCTGTGCGTTTCGAGAGGACCCTGAAGAGCAGGATGAAAGTGCACCAAGGTCGTTCCGAGCGCGTAAACGACGAGGAGAGTTAATGAAACGGACTCTTCGACTGGTTTTAACACGGTGACGCGATGGTTGATTGAACTCGCGAAGGACGCGAAGGGTGAGGAAAGGACATCGCGCGGAGAAACCCCAAGGTCGAGGTTCTTACACTTTTACCCGTGGTACCCAACTCGATCCATAAATTTCTTTCGCAATCGTTTTTCCATCGCGCCGGAAACGCCTTTCTTCCACGCTATTTTGAAAGAACTCCTCGTGTATCGATGTTCGATCGTTTTTAATACGTACGAATTCTAAAAAGAAAATATCAAAATGCGTTTGCTCGTTTCTCGTTTCAGATCAGAGAACAACGAATTGGTTTATGATGAGCTCGCCGTTTCCCACCTTGTTCATCTGCCTGTGCTACGTGTACGCCGTGAAGGTCCTCGGCCCGAAGCTCATGGAGAACAGGAAACCCTTTCAACTGAAGAACACCTTGGTATTCTACAACATGTTCCAAATGATGTTCTCGGCGTGGCTGTTCTACGAGGTAACGTGCTCCGTCGTGCTCGTGCCCCAAGTTGCACGTCTTTGTATCGAATGTCGTGTTGGTCCTTGCAAACAAAATTTGTGTTCGTCGCATGAATTGCTGCGTCCGTGGAAAACAAATTTTCTGTGTAAATAGAAAAATGTTTCGCGAACGTGCATCGAGGCGATGACGCGATCCTAATCAGTATTTGCGTAACTCTCGTTACCGGCTTTGCCATTTTTTCAAATCGTCTCGCGACAATTAGATTTCACGGTGGATCAAAACGAAGCCTCCGATGCACGCTTGTAAGAAACGTTCATTTGCCTCGTACACGCTGGTAAATAAAGCTAGGGGTAGTTTCTCCCCCCAAAAGTACGATATAAGCATTCGGATGCAAAGCGAGGAGTGCTGGATTAAACGTTAATTTTGCAAACAACAACAACAGAGCCTGATGGGCGGATGGTGGGGCCACTATAGTTTCCGTTGCCAACCGGTGGACTATAGCAACAATCCAATCGCGTTGAGGGTAAGTCTTGCGTTGTCCGTAGTCTCTTTCGCAGATAGACGATGATCAACCGCCATTCGAACGGGACGGAACTCAACAAATGCCAATTCGAATTGTCCAACTGTACTTGTAAATATGTATATACGTACGCGCGTACCTGTGTAACAATAAATTGTGTTATGTGTGATTGCTCGAGACACTAATCAAGCTTGAAACGATCATTTTCCCTGTTTAAAGCGTGTATAACCAGTTCTGAAGTCGATGATGAAAATACGAAAATACCGAGAGAAATTCTTGTTACTTTGCTGATAAACGACACGTGGATTAATTTATTAAAAAATTACGAGAATCGTAGTGACCATACGGGGGGTGTAATAACTCGAAAAGAAAAGACGCGTTTTATTTTAGGAGCCTCCTTTTAAATTTGTTAGAAATTATTTATTCGTGTGTGGCGACGTATATGCATATGCTGACGTTAAAAAGTCCTATGTTTTCAAGAGCCTCGCGCGGTGGAAGTTTAAGAAAGCTATGATGCGGATTGTTTGTTGCTTTCGTAGATGGTAACGACCGATCAAGGAGAAGTAAATCGTACTAAAAACGCTTGACGCTTCTTTACTGTTTGTCGCGTGTCTTCGCAGCCGCTTTTCTGTGTCTTTACTTACCTTAGAGCTTGCAGTTCATATGTGGCCTTACGGGGATAATTTTAGAAACTGGGTCGTGGCACGAAACTTTGTTCAAACGAAGTCGGGAAAAATTTACTTTATCGAATGCATCTTCCCATGACTAATATCCATTTCAAAGGACGCCTCGATGCACGTGTAATTGCGGTGGCATCTCTCGACGAATCTTCGCTTTCAATGATAATAGGAAACTCTCAATACCGTCGTTTTTTCCCCCGGCTTATAATATGAGAAGATAGCGATCGTTACCAGGAATATGTTGCAATAATTGTCAAACGTTTAAGTCATTCTTTGCAAATGCATCGATGGGATCTTTTAAGAGGACGATTACGACTCATTTTCTAGAATTACCACGCGCAGCCTCGAATATCTGTCTCTCGTCTGTTTTGTGTGCGTGTGTACTGTTCCTAACTGTGTTTGCTTGCATGAACGTTTCTAGCTGGACTAAGATCCATTTACTCCATGCACGGACGTGTGTTAAAATGGTGTATATCCCCATAGAAAGGTACGCCATTTCGACCCTCGTCTGGTTCCAGCCGTATACATCGATAGACCGAGCTCGAGTTGGTAGAAAGAAGGTGGAAACAATATACAGTATTCCTGGGATAAATGTGAAACTGAATAGCCTGAATAGTCCATGATAGATAAAGGAATAAAAAGATTTTTACATTTGTCACGGGAATATATTATATATTTTGTTTCCTTCGATTCCGACCTCTTTCCAGCAGCGTAGCCTCCAGTCCATCGATGTGTAAACAGGCGTGGCGAATATTCTCCGAAGGAAAATTAATCGTTACTCTTTTTTCATCGACGGATCCGTAAGCGTTTCGAAGTAAATGTTTGATTTCAAGGAAACAGCCTGTGCATAGGTAAGAAATCGACCTTAATTAACGGTGTGCCACCAACGATCATTACTGCGGCCGTAGATAAGCTTTATCACCGCGGCGTGTACGCCGTTTCGCGTGTACCTTGTTCCCCGTGCCTCTTCCATTTATTTTTTTTTTTTTTCACTGATCGGAGAATGGCCTCTGGGCGGTTGTGGTTGCAGATAGGAATGTCCGGATGGCTGACTGGCGACTATTCTCTAAAGTGTCAACCCGTAGACTACAGCGATCGACCCCAAGTACTAAGGGTGGGTGATATTCCCAATTAACACTCAAACGTTACACTAAACCCAAAACACACTTTCCAAACATTCTGTCGAGTACACGATTAAGCTGGAAATTCGCCTGAAAAGTATAACCTCGAGTCGAGTCTGTGCAACTAATATTTCTCACGAAGGAATTGCTTTGGTAAAAGTAAATTGTGCATTCGAAGTGTTGTCTCTTGCGACACTCTGAAACGAAAATTGTTTTACGAATTCAGACGAGAAATAATTCCTTTTTAATTCTTTCGCGTCTTTCCTTTTCTGTTTTTTTCTTCTATTAACATGATCTTTACTCGACAACTTTACCGTTCCTCGCCACTCAGTTTCCAAGTAGTATTTGAAGAAGACAGTAGTTAATCGGGTAAGCTAACACACTTCAAACCAGCCGCTTAATGCAATTAACACCACTTAACAAATTATGTGCGAAAGAACAAAAAAAAACTTGAAAATAAATACACTCACACGACGACAATTCTATTTACATACAGTTCATCACTCGTTAGCTATCACCGTAGATTCACAGAACGATATACATCCGAACAGATTACAGACTATCGTTCCCGCGAACCTATCGAGAGCAAATCTTTGGAGCATTCGATTGCTATTCCAGTTTCTTTTGTTTATAATCAGTGCATAATCTCACTCTATCAGTGGCGATGATTAGACTCGATCTCGATCTCGATCTCCGACGATTTGCCTCTCTTGTTACGTTCCACACGATCTCGAACATACAAAAGTTTAACCGTTATTTTGCAAAACGCAGATGGCGCACGTTTGTTGGTGGTATTACTTCTCCAAATTCACGGAATTCATGGACACGGTAAGTAATCGTAATCTAGTAAAGATCATCGACCAATTGTCTAAGATCTCTTGTTGTTCGCCGTCTTTGTAGATCTTCTTCGTACTGAGGAAGAAGAACAATCACGTGTCGACGTTGCACGTCATTCACCATGGTTGCATGCCAATGTCAGTGTGGTTCGGCGTAAAATTCACACCTGGTACGTAGAATCGATGATTAAATCGTAGGATTAAACAGCAATTCAATTGTTCATTGCGTTCGGTCGAGTGACGCCGTTTATCAACCGATAATTGATTTCAATTAACATTGTTGCATCGCCCAAGTGGTAGAACGTTCATGGAATTCTACCACGAGTTTGCCAATATTAAATCGAAGCTTGCAAATCCCGTAAATCAATCATCGTGAGATTTTCCAGGCGTATTTCTTTTTTTCCTTCGACCGATATTTTTTATTCGTTCCATTGGCACAGAAACTTACATTTTTTTAAAAAAATTGAGATAAAAATAAAACTAAATAGCTGCATAGGTGTTCCGGGTTTCCAAGGTCACGTAAGACCCAACAAAGCTTTTCTTTCTTTCGTTTTCGATGTACCCACCCTGAGAAAGGGTGAATTTTACTTTAATCTTTTAGGAGGTAATTCTTAAAACCCCGAGCATTAAAAAGAGATAACAAATTTCGATTTTGTTGAATCGGTCACAGTGGTTTCCCCCGTTAACCGGTGGATCTTTTGATTTCCAGGCGGCCACAGCACGTTCTTCGGGCTCCTGAACACGTTCGTTCACATCGTGATGTACACGTACTACCTGCTGGCGGCGATGGGCCCCAGGCTGCAACCGTACCTCTGGTGGAAGAAGTACCTGACCGTTTTCCAGATGATCCAGTTCGTCGCCGTGATGATACACGCGTTCCAGCTGCTGTTCATCGACTGCAACTACCCGAAGGCGTTCGTCTGGTGGATCGGTCTGCACGCGACCATGTTCTTCTTCCTGTTCAACGAGTTCTACCAGCAGAGCTATCTGCAGAAGAAACGACCGATGGCGAACGGGGTGGCGAAGGGCCATCAGTCGAGCAGTCAGCACGCGAACGGGGTGTCGAACGGGGCGGTTGGTAACTCGTCGTCGGGACGAAGGGACGCCGCCGATTATTACGTGAAAGGGGACAGCCTAGCGGCGTCGGAGCTGAACCTTCGAAAATCATACACGACGACCGAATGACACGATCGCGCCACGTCGTTAGATCGTCATCGATTCATCTCATCCCCCTTGTATCATCGATCCTCCAAGTCGCATCCGGGTTTCGCTCTGTTCGCGCTTCCGGTCCGACGATCATTCGCGATCTCAGCGGGGCATCGAAACATCGAGAAAGCGTGTGTACAGTAAAATAGTACAAAATTGTTCCGCGTATTCGTAGAGGAATAGAGGAATAGAAAGAGGAGTAGCAAAGGGTGAGCGTAGGACGGGAGGAACGTGCCCGAGACGGTGCCGACCCCGGATGTGTCGCGACTCGATGTCACGGATCGCCGGTCCAGGTACACCGTGACCGCCCTTCCCGGGTACGCTGTTCGTACACCCCGCCCACGACCGTCGTCGAGAGCAAGGGAAACATTCGCGTAAATAAAATCACGACGAATTACACAACGAGCAATTCGGATTCATATGTTCGCGGCAATCGTAGTTACATTGCCGGAGAGACGGTGATTTTCGTCGCATTACGGTACAGAAGCAAGGTAAGACGGGGAGGAGTAATGGTTTTTTATTGACCGTGGTGAAACTGCCGCGGTTTCCGTGGCCAGACGGGGGACTCTCGCTATCTCGCAAACCGCGTGAAATTGGCTGGTTCGCTTCTCTCCCCCTCCCCTCTTCCGGACACACTCCGTTTCATTAGAACAGACATCGGAGCAATATTTACGGTTTACATAATTTTTAAAGGCGCGGGATGCCAGCCCGCAAAATATTTTTGCTGTCATCGGGTTGTGCACGCGCGCGCCGGCAACGACGGTTCATAGATTATATAAAAACAGGGAATTATATAAGAGAGTTAACGGTGAGTCTTGGATCGGGATTGCGTAACAATGCCATCGACCGTTATTCGATTATACAATTCGGGGGAAGATCTCGTTTTTGTTTTTTTTTCGGCGTCGGGAACCGTTAGAAATATTCGTTTGCCTTTTATCGCCGGTTGCTCGAGAGCCGGTGACCTTAATTCAAATCCAACGGGGAGAACAGTCTCGAGACGGGAGCCCCGGAGCGTTACGTAAACCGCGTGCATGCGCAGAAAGTCTCTGAACGTTCGCGCGCGCAGCCACGAAAATTTAACGAAATTCACGCGTATCTCCGTTCGTAAGCATTTAAACAGGACAAACAACGGGATGGGAATTAAACGAGTCGTACGCTGCTGCTTCTTTTTGCATGCATGCATACGATTACGAACGTTTGCATATTTGAACCGTGGATAGTTACCGAATCGTTGGCCAATAAATTCGCATTTAGAGAGACAGGCGCTCGATCTGCGCGGTCGTGCGCACGGTGTACGATATGTTCAGCATTGTACATAAAAATACATCGTCTTTTCGGTATGCTCGACTCGAAAGCCACTCAGTTCGAATTTAAAATGATATATATATACGAATATATATGTATATTGAACGAGAAATCGAAGGATTGTACAAAGTTTGCAATTTTCTACTAATCGGTAATAAGAACGATCTAACGATTTAATGTATAGTTGATTGTAGGTACATACAGGGTGGTCCAGTAGGAACTTAAACGCATGATTGTCTGCTTTTAATGGTTTTGTAGGATGAATTGGGTCATCGATATCTTTTTTCGTGGAATCCGGTATTCTTTTCGTAAGACAACGACTTCGTCAGCGAAGGTGCCGATATTATTACCAAAATTGAATTTGTTTGTTTTTCTTTTTTTTACGATGAATCTTTATCACGAACGACGAGCGAATTTTGCATGCTTCTCCCGCCGCCGAGGCGTTCTGGATTATCCCAAGTACTTGTTTAAATTATTATGTAAAAACTAAGAATATTAAATACTTGAATGGTGTACTTATTAATTTTAGAGTATTTCCCATGACATTGTCGTCACGTAGAACTTCACGAGCATTAGTTTATTTATGGTTATTTGTTAAGAGAGCGTCGTGTGTCGAAGCGTCAGTCACCGGTGACCAACGGCGGCCTAAACGGGAAAGGAACATGACGGTTTCATCGAAAAAGTATCGATAACTTTCCGTGCATCTCGTTCGTCCTATGAAACGATACGATTTTAATCCACACTTCCGACGGTCCACCCCGTATTTAGGACTTCTCGCTGATTGGCTTTTTTGCCGACAATGTTTACGCGCATCGCGAAGCCGAGCAAAGCAAAGGAAACGTACGTTTTCGACGACCAAATGTTCCTCCAACGTGCCTTGCGAAAGTAAACGGATGTGCCTTAATATCTAGGATGTGTTCTAACCATCGCGCGTGCGAGGATCGTTCAAATTCACAACGAAACTTAACAAATGGCGCGCCAGGAACGATCCGTCGTCGATGTCTCGTCGTAAACGAACGCACAAAACGTCCCGTTTCGGTCTGCAACACGGTCACCGATATCAGAGCTGTGATTACCGAAACATATTTGATCGCGTGTCACTTGTGATCTAGACATTAAGGTTTCGATTCAGAACGCACCGTTACAGACACCCGAATTCCCCCCGACTTCTCGTTTTTTTTCTGTTTTACCACGCTGTCCTGTATTCAAAATCTTTTGCCCAGAGCTAAATCGTTAACAGAGCGTTCAGAATCATGGTTGTTGAAATTGTTGTTAGAGTTTAGAAGAGCGAGCGTTTGTATTTCTTTTTTTTTTTTTTTTTTCTTTTTTTTTAGCAAACTTTGTGAGACTCTGCACCGTTAATACTTCCTCACTCCTCTCCCTCGGATAGTTACCTATTTCTATTTTTTTTATGCGACCGCTCGCGATCCATGAGATCTGTGATGTAAATCATTCGTGTACTGCATAAATCAAAATTACTTTCGACCGTCTGAATCATCAAATTTCGCGTGATCGCGGTTTGTAACGTTGTTATGGATATTTGCTCACGTTTGTTCTTTTTTTTAATAGAAATTTCTTAATCAACATCAATCGTTTGTGCATCTAGCAGGTACCAGTGCAATCGTAGCGGTTGGTAACCGATCGCGTAGATCGCTGATCCCTTTGAACATTGTACCATGCGGACAGACCATAAATGATCGAATTACGACGAATACGATCGATGTGCACAAAACGTCCACTTGGTGTTTCGTTCGCTTTGCACGTTTCGTACACCTTGTACATAGGTAGGTTAGTTTTGTACTGTCATAAGGTAAAAAAAAAAAAAAAGTAATAATAATAATGTGAAACGAAGGTAGCAATCATTGTGCCACGTTTCGTGCCGAACACACGAACGGAAAACCTTAAACGAATGAAAGGAAATGAGAAAGAAACAAAAGTAGAGCCAGATACCATAAGTATCGCGCGCATAATGAACATTTAAGTACGAATCCGCATCTAGATATTATTACGAATAAAGAGTTGTTAATGGAGCAAACGGAAATTTACACAGAAATTAATGATTGTTTTGTAATCGCGGCTATGTACATAAAACACTTTCGAATAAGCGAAACTGATGCCAATATAAGACACCACGAATTAATAACGTATCTCCCCTCTCCTCACAACCTGCCAAAAAAATACTAAATATTAAATCGAGTATCGAACATTTTCCAAGATACTGATATGCGTCTGGATTAAATCCCGAGCGTGATGATCCATAATGACAATCTTAAACGAACATATACTTAAACCATCGATGAATCTACCCTATAATGCTATTAATAATAAATTATACGAGTATCGTAGATACGACTGTTCGAACGATAATTTTAAAGTGAATCTTGGAGGGAAGTACAACGTTGTAATATGGCTATTGTTGCAACTCGACGAGCATCTTATCGTACAATAAACCGTCGCGTTTGTGGCTTCCATTATAAGAAACCTCAAACAGCGTCGACTGTAAAATCCTGGCCCGTGAAAGTCTTAAACGTCTTGTTTCACTTTTTGTTGTTACTCAAGTTACATTGTAATTTTGTAAACAACTATCATTTTCTAAATATCAGACACAGCGAGAAAGAACTTTTCTACGCTGTAAGTAAATCGATCGACGATAGGCAAAATTCCTATCCGGATAAGAAATTTTTATTAACGAATAAATAACCAGATAAAAATTTAATTTCGAATAAACGTTACGACTAAAAGCTACACGTTGGTCTTATTGGTCATCTGTTACTCGAATAAAACATTTCCAGTCTTTGTCGAGCAAACAACGGTTACATTAAATTCCGGGTCTTCGTTTTGGCTCAATCTCCAATGGCATGCCGCCAGCTTTGAATATTAAAAACCAACTTTGAATACTTCTTACGTTAACATAACCTTCTCCGAATGCTAAATTTATTTTTTCCTATTTTTAAATTGGTAAAAGAAAAAAGCTGCCCGGACACGAACTTAATATTTATCGGCGTTATTATTCTCGAATCAAGACACGACCAGGCGATCAAATTATATGCCCAACGATGGGATGTAATAAACAGGACGCCTGGAATGCAAATTGCTAGACGGATCCAAATGAATTGAACGAAGATTAAGTATGGAATTAAATATGGACAGGGATGAATGACGTTTTGTATATCCAGAGTCTCTGGTTATTCTTTTATTTCGCAGGATTAAAACAATTTAAAGCTAATTATCTCGTGTATGCAACACGGACTTAATTGCATTGTGCCTCGTTATCCCGTACGCCGATAAGATACCAGATTTTAGCAATTGTCATGTAGTTATTCGCACGGTACGGTTTTACAAAATGATAAAATAAACTGACTGAGATTTACCGTGCCACGAATTCGTGCCTATCGTTAAATAATTTTAGAATGTTTTTTAACGGATAACAAGAGAAATAAATCGATTTCGTTCCAGGTGCATTTGCATGTTGCTATACGCGCGGTGTTGATGGCTTCTATAAATACAGAAACAATAGTTCTCAATCGATACGTCGTAATATTTCATTTGGCTTAACACCTAAACAAATCAACATCAAACGTGTCGAATAGAAACGTAAACCATCGGTTCGTTTTTGCATGAAAGATGTTAAAAGTCGTTAGATGTTGTAGCAACGACATTAAAAGGAACGAAATTACGAAACTTCGTTCGTTACAATTCGAGGTTGAAAACCACTGTCTACCTACAATGTATAGTTTCGTAGCAACCTGAAACTGTCGAGAATCAACTGCCGCGACGGTTCGTCTATAATAACGGTCATTATCGTCTCTCAATGCGATGACACATAATTATTTTCTTCGCTTACATACTCATCGGTCAAATAAATTAACATAAATATTATAAAACGTTTACACTCGATCGTGCCAATCGTTCGCGTGCATCTGTAGGAAATCTACTATTTCAGAGAATTAATCATCCAATTTTACGAGCGCCGCGTAATTTTAAACTTTATATGCAGCACGGATGCATTTTCTATAGACAATGTAAAGCTATGACAGCAGCTGTGCATATACACGCGATAATAGACTGGTGGATAACCGAACAGAGGTCGCCAACGTTTACTTGGCCGCTGAATTATTAATCCGCGGAACTGTACCAAAATGCGAGGAACGTTCGAATTGAGAATCGCTGCAACGTCTTTTGTTGCACGTCAATGCCCGAACTGTTAAGAACGCTTGGACACCGTAGACTACCACGACGATAAACTCGTCTGATACGCAAGATATCGGTTTTTTGAGAGATAAAATTGGGCACAGCATCTTGTGACGCATCACAAACACTCGAGTGCCGCGCGGTTAGTCGTTGTCAGTTACTGACTAGCGCGGTGCATACCTCTGGATCTGACAATCTGACGTCGTACTCGAACGCAAATGACTATATGTCAAAGGCAGTGAACAGCGCACTATAAGTGAACAATTTATAATTTCTACCGGTGGAGCTGGATTTCCTCCGACCGTATAAAACATGTTGGCCCTCATCAATCGGATTTTGGACTGGTTTAAGTCCCTCTTTTGGAAAGAGGAAATGGAACTTACTCTCGTCGGCTTGCAGTACAGTGGAAAAACTACCTTCGTAAATGTCATAGCGGTACGAAAGTTTCTAACCGTTGTCGCGACTCTGTTATTCCCGGTCTTAAAGATTTATGGTCGTTCGATGTTAAACATATAAAATTCACCTTTGCGAAACAATGTAACATGCACCGTCTTGGTTATATTCTATAACCCGTTCGAAGTAACTTGGCCTATCGTAGATGTAAATTGTTCTTGTATCCGCCCTTGCTAAAAAATTCCATAAATACGCGTTTTTACGATGATTTTGTTAGAGGAAAGAGTCTTTGATGGGTATTACTTTTATTCTTTGCATCGAGATTCAGATGTTAATACGTTTTGATGAGAGTTCAGATACTGATATAATTTCTTAGGATACTGCTCGTATTGTTTTGAAACGTTTTGTTGTATAAGACGATCGTAGGGACATACATTGTTCGTTTTTCCAGTCAGGACAATTTAGCGAAGACATGATTCCAACTGTTGGTTTTAACATGCGCAAAATAACAAAAGGCAACGTTACCATAAAGGTGTGGGATATTGGAGGTCAACCGAGGTTCAGATCTATGTGGGAAAGATATTGCAGAGGGGTGAACGCGATAGTATACATGGTAGATGCAGCAGATTTTGATAAAATAGAAGCGAGTCGCAACGAGTTGCACAATTTATTGGATAAACCTCAACTGGCCGGTATACCAGTGTTGGTTCTTGGCAACAAAAGGGATTTAGACCGTGCTTTAGATGAAAACGGACTCATAGATAGAATGTATGTATATTACATTGAGAAAAATGAAAACGAGTATGGTGGTAAAACAATACTAAATAATATATTTTTCTAGGAACTTAGCTGCTATTCAAGATCGCGAGATTTGTTGCTATAGCATTTCGTGCAAAGAAAAAGACAATATCGATATTACGTTGCAGTGGCTTATAGCACATTCTAGAAGTGGTGTTCGCTAATACGTGTAATAAATTTTACATACTTATACATTCTTATCGAAAAGCCCAAAATATTGATAGCAGAATTGGGATCAAACGTACGAGGGAGTGTTCAGCGATGATTTCACATTGGATTGATTTATTACTGTAGAGAATTTTTTTTATATCTAAGCTTTAGCTGTTCTTCGTTCAAACAATATATAACTCGTCGAAAATTGAATGAAAAGAAACCAAGGATGTTATGCTTAAGCCAAATATGCTCGTGTGAACAATAATGAGACACGTTCATCCTTGCAAGCACCTTAGGAATAAGTAACTTTTTTATATTGTGTTTTTAGATAGTCTGTTTAAATAACAGTGCCGTTTCTGTAACGTAAAACCATGAAAGGAAAATAGCATTTACTGGTCAACATAGAGACAGTCTCAGCTAGTATGAATACAGGCGCATAATAATATCAATTATCATATATTACTTATTCTCGGAACTATTTAATTAAGATTAATACATCACGGCATAGAGTACATTTGATCGCTGTATGTACACGAACATGATGCTAAGTAAACTTGTATAATTAATGGAGAATTATTAACAATATTATACCGATTTATTATGATCCTTAAAAATATGACAGTTGTGTTATGTATATACACGTATACAGATATATATATATATATATAACGGAATAAAAATATGTAATTCATTTTTTTTTCAAATGGGAGATCGCCTTTAAAGAAATTTCTATTATCAAGAGACAGAAATAATAAAATATTATATGTTTTTAAAATGACAATGTTTAGGATAAAATTAACAAACATTCAAACTGCTATGAGTCATTTTGATTCGTCAGCGATGCGTATGACATCACCATATAATCGATTGAACGTTGTGTCGAGAATCGATATGTTAGAATTCTTGTCTGTGTAACGCAGTTGTGTGTGAGCTGTCACACTGCGTGGTTCGAGGGACGTAGTTTCACGCGTAGAGAACAAATAGTGTTTTATAGAAAAATATTTATTTGCAAAAGTTATAATGGCACCAATCAACGAAGACCCTTATGCACACGCAGCAAAGGGCCTTTTGAAACTAAAGAATGATCAAGGGGTTAGCAAGAAGTATGTAAACGACAGATTTCATACTTAATTTAGGTTATGTTGAAATTGACACGTCTCGAGTAAAATATACGTTTCGAACAGTAAATTAAAACTGTTTCATCAAAGTCCAATTTACTGTAATTGCAATAAAATACCATTTTATTTGCATTAAATTTCTGAAATAATGTTCTTACATGTAGTCCTGGATATTGTTTAAAATAGAAGTATTACTTATTAATAAATAATAGCAATACTACTATTATCATACCTCTTGGAATCTAGAAAAAAACATAAAGAAGGCAAAAAGAAGAAACTAGTGGAAGTGTCAAAAATTGTTGAGGAAGAAAAATCTAAGACAACAGATATCAAACGAACAAAAGCTGAAATAGCGTTTCAAAAGATGCAGGAAAAGATGGTAAATATTTATTTAACCTTTAAACTTAAGGGATAATTACATTCGAGTACATGTTATTTTGCAGCAAAATGAAAGAATAAAACAAAAGGCCTCCATGACACATAAACAAAGGGTAGAAGAATTCAATAGGCATTTGGATAGCTTAACGGAACACTTTGACATACCGAAAGTCAGCTGGACAAAATAAATTCTTTATATACATTTTAACTGTATAAAACTTTATTCGTACACATTTATTACATATCTTAAATATAAATAATTAAAATTAATAATCGATCTTATATAAGATTGTACTTCATTGCAATGTTTGTAAAAAAAATATCTTTAAATATCAGACCTTTGTAAAAAGGATGGAATTAGAAGTCTTACAATTATATCTTTGATTTGCACAAATAATGCTTAAAGCTAGTATTAAATTGTAGTATATGAAAAGGCACACTTGCCAAGGCACTTTACATTGTAACATACATTAATTTAAATCATAATATGTTACAGTATCAAAAAAAGTTTGTTCATAATTTATAATGTATATTACATAAATGCATTATAAAATTCGATATATGTAGACGACGTTCAGATCTAATAAAGTGTATGTACACAAAATGGACGGAATTAATATATCAAGAGTGGTAAAAATCAAGGTCTAATACTTTTGCTAGTACCTTTAGATAACACTAATATAAAACGGACATCAAAGGTACTACGCGTTAATTAAAACTATGTGAGCTACGCTGATTATCGAAACGAAGGATACGTACGAACTCGAAACCTGTACTCCTCCATTGCCATATTTGAATATTTTTATGTAATTTTCGGTCACTAACCAGGGATTAGCCCCATCATCGAAATACATTGGACATTGGTCACGTTCTCTTTCGTATTCCTGCATTTAAAATTATGATTATAGAAGATTAGATTATTATCCGATATTAATCTATAAATTAAAGTCAGACACTCTGTATATTTAGAAGAGATACATAAAATCAATTTCAATTTACCTGTAGTTCTAATGCGACTGCCGCGCCTTCGGTATAATTACTACTTGTAACGTCTTGTTTAAGATCGCAGAATGGACCAATAGCTTGCGATATGAGGACTCTATTTAAATCGGCCCTCTGATACACCCAACAACGATATTTACTATACGGATCCAACTCGTCGTATGTTATCAAGTAGGACTTCAAATTTTCTTTCCAAAATCCGATACATTTCATTTTATAATCCGGCAAACCTAACACGGTCAAAATAAAATAATTTAGTTTATTAGTTTCTTTTGACTCGTGACAATTCGAACTTACTGTAAATATCGACGGGTTTCCCTAAATAATCCACCGACAAGCAGTAGGTTTCGTCGATCGCGATCTCCTTCTGATCGGTGTCGCAAACGGAGAAATCGGAAATATTTTGTTGGCAATGGATATTCGGACGGGGGGACAACGTAACACCGCCTAAAATTCTAGTTTCGAATAGAACGTCCCCTTTTTGGGTGAACATGTATTTCCCGGCTATTGGACAACGTACTGGCACCGGGTTGTTTGCTAAAAGTGTAAAAGATATCGATATGAAAACAATCGATTGTAGATGGCCGCATGCTCGCAAGAAGAACGTTACACCCACCCAAGAATAAGTCGTATTTCCAAGCTTCTTTGTTAGGAAATTGCACCCAAGAGCAAACAGTGTGGAAATCGTCTTTGATAACCGCGATACCGCGTCGATATCTAATGATATTATGATGTCGGCGCACGAAATCGAAGCAAACGTAATCTTTTTGACTGAAAAGACGATTCACTGGATTGTGAGAACATAACCAAGTACGATATTTATCACGAGTATATTATTATGCGTCGTATACATACCATCCGTCTACGGTCAATCTTGCCATCATGACTCTACTGTCTCTCGACTCGCGACAAACGTAAATCGTACGTCTGTAACGACCCTCGTCGGGATACCAAGTTTCGATTATATGAGTTTCGTTTATGAAAATATCTGCATCGATATTAGCGGTATTTATCCATTGTCCGCTCATATCTTCCGGTAATCTACACCCCGGCTCCACCACCTCGGCTTTAACAGGCGTTACTCGCAAACGCTCGGGACTTTTCTCGACAGTTTTTAACGTATTACATTCGGCGGTGATCGATACCCCAATGAAAAGATCGTCGTCGCGATTTTTTAAGAAACATCGATACTTCTCGTCTTTTCTAGATTCTTTCGTATTCGCGACCGCGAAGAAATGATTCTTATCCACGAACCAATCTCCCAAACAGCTATACTCCACAACTGAAATATTTGCGATACAAATATGTTGAGAAAAAATGTAAAATATTCATGGAGATTTTGGTCAAATATGGGAAATCTTACCTCCATCAAAAGTGTTTTTCATACCGGAACACTGTTTATACGTTATGTTGAATTTCTGATTAGTTATCAAGAACTGTGTTCCTGCTGTTTGGCAGGATCGAATTTGGGCATCAGGATGATCACATTCTCCTGTAAATCTGAACCTATTCTGTAATGAGAATGAAAGTGTTAATTTTCTTTGCGAACATTTTGCTATTGCACATTTATATACTAACCTGATAAGCAAACTGCCAAACACCCTCAAGGGATGATCTACAATTTACAGGAACATGATTCTCAGAGAATAATGTTATTAACTGTTGATCTGGCTGTAACCCTTTGCATACATTTTCCACAGTTGGCTCAACATCATTAGGCAAATTCACGCAACTTGCTGAAAACATAAGACACCATGATATTATCCTATACTTTTTACAGCTTCCTTATTAATTTTTCCCAAGTTATTCCGTGTTCCTTACCTTCAAGTTTTTCCAACACATTTACCGTACGAACAATTAAGTTAACACAATGGTAACATTTGTCATTTCTAAACACAAATGTATAATTAACCAAATACCTTTCTACCATATTCACACAGACACCACGATTTGTCATTGTTTCAGCATTTATTTCGGTCAAAGTATTTCTTCCATTCTCCCATGAAAACCATGATCCTCTTATTACAGTAGGAATTTGACAAATAGATTCTTCATGGGAAGATGCAACTAAAAGGCAAAATATATTTTTTAATAACCTCTTAAATATAATCACAAAAAACTATCGAATCGCGTGTTAACTGTTAATTGCATTCGATTAAAACGAGATTATACGAAGCAAAGATCTTATTTTCCAACGAAGTAGAATTTAATTTATAACAATCGTGTATACAATTATGGATAATTTTAAAATCCATCGAGACTTACCTAGACACATAAAATATAGGACAAATAGAAACGCGTGCCGACTTTTCGTCATCTTGTCATTAAATAAAACAACTCTTTCGATAATAAAATAAACAATCACTTTAATTCAGATCGATCACAGCGTGTCAAGTAACTCATTCCTAACGCCCATCCCATTTATGAATCATGCATGTGCTGCCATCTGGAAATCATATGTATACTTTCAAAGTATTTGTATTCTTGGGATCTAGAATCACAGACGAGGTATACGAGTAGATCTTTCACCCGATGTATTTTTTCGGCCCGTTTCTCTGGGGTCCCGGGACCCCATTAGCATTTTCGTGTCACTCGCAACGTTACCGACAGATTCAGAAATGAATTTTAATCCCATTCATAGTAAACTCACATGAATTTACGCAAAACTACAGCTGTTTGCCTATCAATGCTAATTCAGTGAATACTTTCTCAACTGACCGCCATCCATGAGAATCACGTATGGCAATTGTTCGAACTGACGTACAGAAAGACAGAAATTAACGAGATACACTCTTCCAAAGTGGAACAAAATGTTAAAAAGATCATGCATCAAATTGTAAGGGGATCCTTGTAAGAAGGCTTTGATCTTCGTAATGATTTTAATGGGTCGATGATCAACAATGACCAGCTTATGGTCACTGGTGGTCAACAGTGAGGTTGACATCAAGGTCAGCGGCCCAGCGAAGATCCAGAAATGGGCAAGAGGTGGGACCAATCGAAATAGTTTCTTCGTAGACGAGACAGTCTTAACTGTTAACTTCAACATTGGCTCTGACTGGTCTCCCTACTCTTTCATTATCTTAGACATATAAGCAGGGTCACTGCGAAGAATTCTTCAGTCTCGTCGCGAATTCGGGAGTGTACAAGTGGCCAGAAGAGAACCGGGGACCGCTGCTGACCTCTGCTGGCCGCTGCTGACCACTACTGGCCAACGATGACCACGACTGGCCATGGCTGACCAATACTGACCACTACTGACCACTACTGACCAGTTGTGACTAGCGCTCCTGCCACTACTGACCACTACTGACCACTGCTGACCACTACTGACCAGTGCCGGACGGTGATGACTACGGTAAGAACTGTTTAAAAATTCTCTCCCCTCTTCTATTCTATCGTTTGATACCAATTTTGCTCCAATGAACTGATTTTGCCTTGCTTGCCTAACTGACGTTGCTATAATATGAATATTTTCTTACTTTACAGCTGGCGCAATGGTAACTACCCTATGTACTGACAACAAGTAGTAAGTCCACTCCACTTATTTATATTTTATTATTTTTATTTGTTTGTTTGATGCGAATTCAACTTTATTTATCGATCCGATTTTATTTGGTTATTATGAATTCTCGTAATATTTTACGGAGGTACTTTGTTGATTCTTCCGTTTCGTTTGATCGTTTGGTGTTGATATAACTTGGTGTCTCGATCCAAGTTTCTTTCGATATGTATAACATGGTGTCGATGACACTGATAAATATAAGATTTTTATTTTTACGTTTCAGCTTAAATTCTTGTAACATTTTGCTAATATACTCTGTTCAATTCCCTTTAGCTAGGTGATAGATCATTTTTAAGTGTTTATAAACCTCCTTTTTAACCCCTTAGCATAATGATGTTTCAGAGACGTGATGAGTCTACCGGGCTAAACATGAACAAGACGTCTCAGAGAAGCGATAAGTCTACCGGGCCAAACCTTGGTGACCCTTTTGACACGCACAGTTGGAAATTAAATCGTAAGGCAAGGGGGTAAAACGACTGGTTGTATACGTGCTTTCTTCGGCAAGTGTAGTTAGTACCTTTTACTTAAAATTATAATCTTCTTGCACACCGCGATTTTTAAAATGACAAATGTCATAGTAGATTCATTTTTAATTTGACACTCGTTTTAAAATGAATATATAATGAGTACATATACATATATGAGTAGTTCACTTTCTCTCGTCCGCTCGTTCTCTGGTTCTCGCTTTCCGAGATTATGTCTCGACCGAAAGGACCGGAGAGTTTTTTGCTCGATCACCTCTGTTTGATAGAATGAAACATGTGACACCTGTGTATTAGGTGTGATAGCTCTTACCGCTTCAACCCCGGTGCAGCTTGGTTCAGCTTAAGTGGGGCCTCGCCGAGCGCATATATTCTCCTCTTTATACGGAAAAGAGAATGACCTCCGGTGAGAGTCCTTGACCCATATCCGTTCTCGAGTACTAAGCGGGTCCTGTTGTGATCTTGTGTCCTCCAGGGCCCGGCGGTTGTACGTAGAGAGGTCCGATCGACGTGGGTCAGGGGCGCGACTTGCTTTTCTGATAATCAAGGCCGGGGGGGATCAATCTGATACCCACACTCAATGCACGCTATGAGCACGTGTCGCGTCGCGTCGCGTTTTATTTAAGCGTGCGATGATTTTTACACGCTGCAATTTTTAATATGACAAATATCGTAATATCGATCGAAAGTAGAGTCATGATTTTAATATCTATTATAATACTTATAATTATATTAACTTTAGAACGAGTGTCAAATTAGTAGCTTCCGATTGTTCTTTACATTCTTCGATAATTAAATTCACTTTCGCAATTGAGTCGACGACTTTGGGTATCCTCGATATCGAAAATACCCAAAGTCTCTCTTTACTTACTAAAATATATCATTAGATCGATGTGCAAGAAGATATTTCGCGACGAATACATTTTAGAGTCAAAGTAACCTCGTATATTATATACTATTTTTACTTTCTCACTGCACTTGCCTGTAGTTGTAGCATTTGTAGTTTTACAGTTTCAGTGTTCTTCTCTTACTAATCTATTAAGCAAGTTTCTGTTACAGAGCAAACTCCTACGGAAGTTTTAGGTTTATACAGGTAACAATTAAGAATTGCTACAATTTTGTTTGATATTGCTTTGTTTGTGTTTCAGGAAATCATCGTGGGATAAATAGAAGATAGAAGAAAGAAGAATGTATTTCATGTATTTTGTTTCAGATTGTTTAGTTTATGTTTTAATAATTTAGATTTACAGTTAGGTAAAACGTAACAGTAAGTAAGAATATATTTTCTATGTATTTTGTTAGATGATTAGATAGGTAGGATGTAAGTGAATTTAGATTTATAGTTAGGCAGGAATTTGGTTCTCTATATTGATCATTATATCAGGCAGGCAATATTTTGGCCTATTTCTCTGTTTTGTTGATGAGAATTTAGACAAAATTCTTTCTCGAAAAACTCTTTCGTTGATTGTTTCCTTCGTTGGTTGCACTTTCGTTTATTGCTTCTTCGAGCAACGATTGTTTTATTAATGGAGGGTGGTTGGGAATCGGTTAGGGCGGGTCTCCATTCGCAGCAACCTCCACGTGGTGAGACCTGGGTAATGTTATTTAGCGTTTAATTAATAATCGTATCACTCTTAGCCGGGTAATGCAATTATCAATTAAAAACTAAATAATATTAGCAAATTGGCTGCGATCCGCTTTGCATAGATCATCATAAATACAGAGCTTCTTCGCTAAGTTAGTTTTGATTCTCATTGATTCATCAAAGATTCTAGAGTATTGTCTGAGAAGACGAGATATACAAATAGATCTTTCACCCGATGCATTTTTTCGACCCATTTTTATGAGGTCTCGAAACCCCATTACCATGTGCTATAATGATCGAGCAATTTGTAATTATTTCAAGTTTAATCATTATTTCCTCGATAACACGATATTAAAAATAATATTGTTCATATTACAATAACTATTTCTACGATCATTTGCATCCAAATGCAAATGTATGGAAAGATATCTTCCGGTAGAAATAATTATGCATAAAACCGCGGTAGAAATAGTGCAATGTTTTGATTTTTACTAACAATAGTAATGCATAGACTCGTGAAAATAAACGATAGTAATGAACCTTATGCAGAAACACAAAATAACAAAATTTAGATTCGAGCAAAAATGATTGAACTTCTGGGGGGGAACAAGCTTTGCAGTTAAATGGCGGCGAATGACTTCGAGGTCTTAGAACTTCTGCATTCGATGGTCAGACGCTTCATTTACTTCGTAAAATAAAACAGACTATGTTTCCAGCATCCACAAATTTCGTTTCTTGTTATTTACTCGCTTGATACTATCCTTGATTAAGGGCACATATTGATTAAAAGTAATTTGATCGGTATTTCTGGTAACGTATACTCTAGTACCAGTGTGTCCCTTGGCTCTTGATGAAGCTTTGATAATTCATCCATAAGAACAAGGCTTGCGCCAGAAAGCCAATGTTTTGTTTAATGTCAGATAACGATAATTGAAAATAGTTGGAAGACAAATTAGAATTGCCTCCAATTTAACGGACGACTCCATCTGGCGAAACTGTAAAACCTTTATCCTCTCGCGACGACCAGCCCCTCGTCCGCGTTCCCCTCTTGACCCTCATCTTTTTACGAGATTAATTTAAGACAACTAACGTTTGATGAAAGTCGTTGAAGTATATCAGCTGCGAGATATTCGCCATTACACGTCGAACGAGCTGGCTTCAGAAAGCAAAGGGGGTTCCTTCCGCGGTTGGAGCACGGACAGGGTGGTTCCCATTGGTCCATCGTAGGGTTTACGATTTGCAACGAGGCACCCGGGTCCGCGGTAGCAACCCCAAGAGGAAACGAACGCCATTGGTCCGCGCGTCGTATTTTTACCCCAACGTGCGACCTACTAAAGGACTTTTACAACAGCCAACGGCCAATACCCTTTTTCTGGCAAAAGGGATGCTTCCAAGCACGCGAATTCGTTGCAGGGAATATATATTTTTTTTTAAATAAAATATACCACCCAATAAATTACACTAGACATCGTGGTCCCCCTGTCCTCGTTAGCGTTTCGTTTTTAAAAATGGATTCTGAAATAAACCTCAATGCTTCTTGGACCAGTACAGTTGTTTATCTTTATATAGAAATTCTATACTGTGATTTACTCGATGAAAATTACGTTTCCAATTATGGAATCCAATTAAAAGCTGGGGTAACAGAGAGGTGCATAGAAACTTAAAGTAATGGAAGTGGATTGTATATTCCATCAGAGTATCAGAGAATATTCTTATGAGATTTGCTCCCTATTTTTAGCTAAGATGTTAAGGCACACTGTTGCGATAATTTTGTCAA